AGCTGTTGGCCTTGAGTTGTTATGCTTCAGTTGCACTTCTTATTAAGTAACGGTGCTCTTAAGCGGGTCAGGCCATTTGCTTCAATGCACACTGCAATTAAATATACAATTAGGTCTTATCGAGCCACTGACTTTGATTATTGCAGCGCTGTATGGGATGGCTTGACCCAACAGCTTACTGAGAAACTTCAATTAAACTTTAATTAATTTTCTATCTAGTTAGACTTATGTTTTTAACCGTGTATAAATAAAATTATCATTCATTCATTCATTCATTCATTCATTCATTCATTCGGTCAAGTTGGTATGCAAAAAAGGAGCTCTGACTTTACTATTGTCTGTGCTATACTTCTGATGACTTATACAGCAAAAGTTAAGAAAACTTCATAAAGGAGTATATACATGTATATTCATCCTTACTTTCCAACCAACTTCCATATAACATTAATCTCATCTCAGTCAGAATAACACAGAAATCCTATGTGGGGAACATGTAAAATTGTAAACTTTCCTTGGCCATTGTTTCCAACTCTTATGATTGGTCAAAATCTTTTAACACAGAAAAACACCCTTTCAAAATGAAGTATAATAATAATTTAATAATAATTAACCTGAGATCAGGCCCAATTTTAGCAGTTCTCATACATTCTTCTATAAGTTGTCTCAGGTTAAATAATATTAAACTAGAGGTAATCATTGATTACGGATTCGCGTTCGTCCGCACTTACGGAAAAATTACGGAAACGATCGATAAAATTAATAGGGGTGGCTACTTTGCAGTCGCCCGTGATAGCTCGAAAATGTCTGCCTTAAAGCCACAGGAACACCAGATTAAGATTATGACGAACGCGATAATACTTTAATTATCCTCTCCCCCTTATGGGGCTTTTCAGGGATAATGAATCAAATAATGAAACAAATGGAAAATAACATGGGAAAAAATCCCAACTGGTAGGAGGCGAACCAGTTGGCTATATTTCAAGCGTGGCCGAAGATTTACAGTCGGGACTACAGAGAACAAATCCAGCTAGCGGTCAGAACGGGACTTGAACTCGGAGCCTCTGAATTACAAGTCCAGCGGTCTCACCACTCGGCCACGCTGCCTCCTAATCTAAATACATTTACTGACATAAACATTCTATCGCTTACACGGCCTTTCTGTAGGTTTGTACATTCTCTGTGTACAAATGAAAACTATGTGGGGAAAGATTTGATTTCCACCTTACCCGAATCGTTACTTAAAATTGTATTTCCAAAACGTCGTAAATTTTGATCAAAATAAATAGAAACGGGTTAACGAGTCACGTGACTAAGAAAGTGCATGACAAAGACAGTAAAAACACAAAGTTTTTAACTGAACGTAAATTCCTCTTTAATCCATGATCGTCCCCTCACCAACTTCAACTGAACTAATTTACTTGATTTAATAAAGAAAGCACGAAATGAGCTTTGGCAGTCCACAGGCATCCCATACTAACTATTCTTACTGGGTGCCGTCACGCACAAACGCTCCCTGTGCCCGTGGAACCCGTGCATTTAAATTTCGGCGCATCTGTGGATCCGCGGGGATCTAGTTGTGCATATATTTGTGAGTTCAGTATAAACTGGCCTGTTTCATGCTGTTTATTCCTCTCTTTGTTAAAACGGACACTAGACACCTAGTTTGTTGCCCCACCCACCTCCCCGCAGCTATGGTACACTCTGGCACCTTTAGCTCCCACTCCTTCCCGCCTATATGTAACGCTTGTTAATGTATCTAGTAGCATTGCGATACTTGACGATTCATAAAGTTTATATTTGCAAACTTGAAAATTCGAGAAAATCGCCACTGGGGTAAATCAACAAACAAAGCTATAACAATACCTTATTCAAATACATACAAATATAAACATGATACACATTTGAAAGGGCGGACCGCGAGGAAATATACAGTTAAAATATGAGCTGTTATGTCAATAAATGTTCATCCACCTTTCTAAGCCTTTTTAAAATTTGTTAACATTAATTTTCACCAGTAAAGAGACGGTTTGGTGAATTGTTCCAGTCTTTGATGAATCTCACAAAGAGAGAATACTTAAGGGCGTTAACTGTGACTTTAACTGATCGGTCTTACCTAAGACTTACGAAATTAATTTCTCTGTTCCTGCTACTAACTGTACGCTTTAGTAGGCCCACCACTTTGTTTGCCTTATTCACTATTACATCCACGTGATTCGACCACTTACTCACTTACTTACCTTTCCTATAGTTTGTGTCTTTCTAGTGTGTTTGTATGTTTTTGAAGCGATCTGGGCTGGTTTTGCGATCTTGTCCTGTGTCACAAAGTCTGTTTCATATAGTGAGCTCGAAATGCCGTGATCCGTGAATTTACTGTCTAGCATGACGTGCGATCACCTAACGTTAAGTTCCCTGATTTGTGGTTCTTTCGGAAAGTACACGTGAAAAAGCCCATTCGAATTTAGGTGGTAATATATATATAGTGACCACATTGTAACAAGCCAAAAAATGATCTTGTTTCTCAGGCTGGGCTGATGCGTTTCTAAGATTGTTTTAAGGCTTTACCCATACTCCTATCAACGCCAAGAAAAAACATGATTTGAAATCGGAGGAGACCTGACATTAACTGAATGTAATCAGTTAGAAATAATTTTCTGCAATAATGGATATTAGATACGTGATTCGTGATATGAAGGAAAATAGGGTCCTTATTCGCGACTGGGACCTTTCCTCCCCTTTAAAAACCTGACTTATTCAATGGCTAAGGGAGGAACTTGTTTAAAAAGGTCAAATTTAGGGTGCGTTCGATTAGGAAATCTTCATTTAGAGTTCAAAATCCGGATTTCGGATAATTAGCAAAAAGAAGATCCATGTTCACGAGAATAGTTTGCAAATCCTTTTTCGGATTTCCCAATGGAACGGTAAAAAGGTAATCCATGGCATCCGGATTTGGATTTGCTTATTGGAGTCCACCCTGAGAACGAATTTCTCGGAGGTGAAATCCATTTGCGCTTTCGATAGCAAATTCCGAAATCCGGATTCACAATCGAACGCAACCTTAGTATACTTATAATGGTCAAACTTTTCACGGTATAATCTTTCAAACTAAATACAATTGCTAATTTGCTTCCTAAATGATGCAATAAAATACTTTATACAACTTTATTTTCAAAAAAAGTACTTAATTTACAAAAAAAAACACCCTTAAATGAGCTTTTAGCAAAAATCACTAGCAAATTGGAGCGTCCTACAACAAAATCGCCAAATCCGGTACAAGCTGCTAGCATGAGATCACGATGTCTGTAGTAAAAAGTAGCACAAAGCACTGTTAGTAGTGTTTTCAACTGGGGGGTCAAGTGCGTTGTTTATTTGTCAGAATTGACCGGTGGCCAGACCATTCCCGTGGTAATAAGAATTTCGCTTTTAACCAAGAGACTATAAAGGGGACAGAGAGGGCATCCCCCATATACACCCTATTCCATAGGTAATTCGTCTCGAGTTATTTTTAACACCACAGATCTCAAGGGGGATTAGACAACAGCCAATCACATAGCACGAATGTATTCCGCGTGGATGACCCACGCTGAGAGCCACGCGTCCTTCACGAAATGACGCAGAACAAAATGGGGGAAGACGCGGAGAGCGATTTTGCTATTCCTTTTGTCGACGAAAACGACTACAGCGAGATTTCTGCGAAAGCTGTGTCAGCGAAACCGAAATTAAAAAAGAATCGCCCTTCCTCTCTTGTATAGAGCTAACAGTAGAGCAGGGAAATCCTNTTCTCTCAGGATCATTTATAATTTATAGTTTGAAGAGAGCAATTTCTGGTTTGATGTTTATTTTTTTTCAGTCTTTATAGCGATTATTCCTACCCACTTACTTTGTCAATTGTAGGCGAACCCTCCTAAAGCTGAATTTCAGGGGACCATATTCAAGCTCAGAAAGAGAAATAAAATTTCGTCGTTGCTTATTTACGTCCTCCATAAAACGCGAAATTAGGCATTTTCACGTCGTAGTCGTGCAAAAACGGGAAAGAAATGAACAAAAAAGTGTGTTGCACGTGCGAAGTTGTTTTTTTCCTAATTAAACCTATTGTTTTTTTGACGTTCTAGTTGTCGTCCGCGTCGTTTGATCTTAAACTCCCTAAATTGTACAAACGACCGGTTTCAATAGACCGGCGAAATTTCTCATTTTATTAAAGCACTGAGGTCACGACAACTTCGAGTTAAACTGATTTCACGGGTTGTCAAAGAGTCCAGCGATTCCTTTTTCCCAGGTGAGCGCCGACTCATTTCGCTTCAATATTCAGGAATGCTCTCGATCTTTTTACGCTCTCATTGCCTCTCGCCCGTAATGTTTTGCACGGCGTTTGGTCATGCGAAACCTCCACGAAACATCCACGCCTCGCGCGAGGTAACTTTATCCCGATTCTAAAAATAACTCGAGACGAATTACCTATGGAATAGGGTGTATATGGGGGATGCCCTCTCTGTCCCCTTTATAGTCTCTTGCTTTTAACTGAAACTGTCCAGCCTGAGGTAAGTTAACTCATGAATAATATGCATCGGTTGATATGTTATTTTAGCCAAAAATCCTTTAAAAAGCCCACTTCAATAACAAAATAATCGGTCCGGCGCCCTAAAACTAGTAAAGTTTAATTCATAAGTTACTACAATATGGCAAATTATAAAAGACTCCAACCAACTAGGTCGAATGACGTAACCTTTTAAAACCTAACTACTTTTACGAGAATGGTTAGAAATATACAGGTAGTTTCTAGTATATTAAAACATGATTCAAAGAAGGAGAAAGTAGGTAATCATTAGTACGTGCATTTTCCAAGGATTTTTACAACAACAGGGTCAAATGGTGGAGTATTTACAGGGGACTGCTGGCAAGCTGCTGGCCCTAAAAAACAATAATAATAATGGTTCAGTCAGTTTTTCCACTCAAATGTCTTCCTTTTAATATTGCAAGGTCGTAACTCTTGTATCGCAGTATAATCAGACATCTTTACCTCCTATCTGTGGAATAAGGCTGACATAGTGAAGCTCGTGCAGGTGACCCAGCACAAGCCGGTTGCTACCAGTAACATCAAACTCTGGGCATATCATTACGTCATAGCGATGTAGAAGACTGCTAATCACATGGATGCACGTTCGAAAACAGTTTGCCGCGCCGTGTAGAACAACGTGATCACCCCATGTACCATCTGCCATCATACTTGTGAGGTAGGCATCCCAAGATGGATATCCATCAACAAAATGAAACAGTTCTGTCCCATCCGGCTGTAAGAAAGAAAATACTGTAGTTAATAGAGAAAAAGGTAGAGTGCTTTTGTAGAAGGTATATATTCAGGCAGCTGCGCTGTCAGCTCTCTCTAAGACGACACCATTAGAAATAATATGTCCCCCTCAGTAGTATTAAGGACACACCAGTTAGACGTCTTTTTTTGAAGTGGAATATATTAACGTCGATGACGCCTTTATCTCCTTTGCGCGCCAAGAATCAGTGAACCGGAACCAGAACAATGAAGCTAGTTCAAACAATACCAGATAAGCTTTCATGACGACACGAAAAGCCATCCAGTATAGTGTGAACATCTATCCGATATGTGACTCTCCACTTAAGAGATCGCCACGGCCTCATTCCCTTTCGTAATCAGCCTTTTCCATTTTTAACGGTCGATGCCAGCATTAGTAACCAAGCCTTTAGTCATGATAGACGTAATATATTCTCTGGATTTAGTTACAAAAAGGCAAATAATACGTTTTTGAATAGCGCTAGAAAACGGCGTTGGAGCCAAGTTGAATTTTCGTTAAAATTTATGGAAAGGTCTAGGGTCACCTGTTATTGATGTAACAGTTAAGAAAGACAGTTTGTCAGTGTATGTACTTAAATTTTTTCGGTATTTTGGCGGGTCGGTGGGGTAGTCTATTGGTAAGGGAGAGAGATTAGGATACGAAAGCTCCGGGTTCGAGGTCCGGGTTTTACCTTGGATTGCGATTCTCTTTCTTTTTTTACAGAAACACTCTAAATACAGATAAAAAATTTTCTTAGTGTCTAAAAAATTACAGCGACCGTTTTTCGAAAGAGACAGCTGCATCGGCGCGTTAAAGAAATCGCGCCGAAATCACCTTTCTCACGTGTGAACTGAAACCCCATCCAGTATGATTTTCGTACCGGCGAAAAAGCTATACCGTATAGTGTGAAGACAGCCTAAGATGTCTGCAATGGACAATGAGGGCATCGTGGCTCAGTGATTTTAAGTCACAGGTGTCTTCATGACCAAATAAAGACATGACACACACAATTTGGACTAATCTACCGTTTGTCAATATAAGGGCATGATCCCTATAAGCTATATAAATGGATGTACTAAATACTACGTAAAAATAGCTCGTGGCTTTATCTTAATGAGATTCAACCGCATTTTATTCACGAGACAGAGAGAAAATTATTTATTCCACTTCATTTTAATGACCTAACCTTAAAAATGTAAAAAAAAAACCAGTTAAGAACGGCAGAGACAAACACTTTTAGGGAGGTGTCCGTTACACGTGTAAGAGAGAGAGGGGGGGGAAGGGATGTTAACTATTTAATTGCTTACTGACGGGCCACGCGCATATACTGCAAAAATGTCCACTCTAAAAATAATAAAACAGAAAAAGGCACTTACCAGCTTAGGGTTTTCCCGAAGTTGTTGAACAATAGTTCGGCGTAACTCATCGTGGGAGATTTTGATTCCTTTGATAAGGTCAAGCTGTCCTGAAAGTGCAAAAAACATGCAGTTTCCCCCTCCTTGATTGTCAGAAATTGCAAAACCTTTTTCCATTGCAGTCCTCTTCAAAGCTTGCGACAGCTCAGTTTTGCTGGACTCTATGCGTGCTTCCCGTATGATTTGTTGAAGTACAATAAAAGTGGGTTCGCCTGTAAACGAAAGATGAAAAACTTAACATAACATAGAGGTTATTTCATGGCAGTTTAATAGGAGATGCTGCACTGGTCTGAAGCTCAAAACAGCAGACAATTTCAGTAAAAATTACTGTGGTCTCCAAAGAACTAAATAACCTCACTCTACTGCAAAAACATATATTGGCTTTGCTTTGAGTCTCAAAGCAAACAATGGCATTACCTGCCATCGGTCCTGATGCAGCATCCTTTTCAAAGTCATTCTGTGGAACTTCATTTTCTTGGGTTTTTTCAACACCTGTAAAGTTTAAAATTAGCAGTGAATTTAAAAGGTTTGGCCTGTAAGCAGGAGAGGGAAACAGTTAGTCTACGTCAGTTTACTTGGAGATGCACCTCAATAATTGAAAGTACCCTGGTTCAACAGAAGAAAATAACCTCACTCCGCTGCAAAAAAAGAAGAACATTTGTCGTTGGTTCAACTGACAAAGCAAACAATGACATTACCTGCTATCGGTTCTGTTGAAGTGTCCTTTTCANATAGAGGTTATTTCATGGCAGTTTAATAGGAGATGCTGCACTGGTCTGAAGCTCAAAACAGCAGACAATTTCAGTAAAAATTACTGTGGTCTCCAAAGAACTAAATAACCTCACTCTACTGCAAAAACATATATTGGCTTTGCTTTGAGTCTCAAAGCAAACAATGGCATTACCTGCCATCGGTCCTGATGCAGCATCCTTTTCAAAGTCATTCTGTGGAACTTCATTTTCTTGGGTTTTTTCAACACCTGTAAAGTTTAAAATTAGCAGTGAATTTAAAAGGTTTGGCCTGTAAGCAGGAGAGGGAAACAGTTAGTCTACGTCAGTTTACTTGGAGATGCACCTCAATAATTGAAAGTACCCTGGTTCAACAGAAGAAAATAACCTCACTCCGCTGCAAAAAAAGAAGAACATTTGTCGTTGGTTCAACTGACAAAGCAAACAATGACATTACCTGCTATCGGTTCTGTTGAAGTGTCCTTTTCAAAGTCGTTCTGTGGAACGTCATCTCGTTTGGTTTTTCCACGACCTGTAAAGTTAAAAAAAGCAACGACTTACAGAGAAAAATGGCACTCTTAAAAAAAAGAAAGATTTCAACCTCAGAAGCCCCCCTTTCATTTTTGTGACAAATTATAAGCCAAAAGTTTAGCTAGTCTTTTTTTGCGACGTTCTTTTTATGTACAAGAGAACACCACCATTGCTACTGCATATGAATAGAAATCAAATGACTTTGATGTATCGCAATGTTGTGGATTTTAATTTTCATGTATCGCTAGCCAACATTTTATAAAATTATAAATAAAATTCTTAAACATGAAATTGTTCAGTAACACAAGAAGTGTACCGAGAACGGTGTGGATAAGTGAATGCCACCATTAGGGTTAAAAAGGTCAACGGCAACATTTCTTCAGCGATGCACATGGACCACGATACATAATATAGTAAAAATGTATTTATGTACTCGCTATTGCAGAAGCAATGGACATATACCATTTTCTTACCATAGACCATCTTCCATATTCTGCAGAGGGGGACCTGGCACTGTCTCTCCCAAGAGAATGTTTGATCATAACTTCTTCGAAGTCTTTGGATTTCCTCAAGCCGCTGTGTCCTTGATTTTTGACGGATGGCTGCAACTGCTTTTGCCCATTCTTTGGGGTCATCAGAGTCGATCACAAATGACTCAGCCATTGGAAGTTTACGCATTGTTTTTTCCAAACCCGGAGTTTCCACTAACCAGAATGGGAAGACCAGCTGACATGGCCTCCAATGCTGTCAAACCAAACCCCTCAGTTCTTGGTGGCATGATGGCCAGTTCGACAGCACAAAACAATTCTCTCAATTTTTGTGTGTCTTTCACAAACGATTTCACAATCAGCTGGTTCTTTGAAATGCCAGTCCGGAGTAAGTTTTCTGCGACTTTATCCTGCCTTCCCTTGGATGCACCAACGAAAATCAGAATATAGGAACTGTCCTTCAGTTCAACTATGGATTTAGCGGCAACGTCGTATCCTTTAAGACTAAAGTCTTCCAAATCACCGCGACCGAAGCTCAATACTCTGAAATTTACACCATCATGTGCAGCATGTTTAATATCTGAAAACTCTGCAAAGGAACCTGGTATTAGTTGAAAGATATGATATAAACGCAACTTGCACGAGAACGCTTCTTTTAACTTGGGTCCAACGGCTACAACGAGGTCTTCATTTTGACAAAGTTCAAGTTCAGCTGTGTTCTTCTCTTCTCCCTTGGCAATGGCACTTGGATAGTTCTTATGCATCGCCAGCTCTTCAGGCTCAATGTGAACAACCTGCACCCAATTGCAGTGATGAGGTTTTCTGATGATTTGTGCTTGTTTGCCAAGCTTTGCTCCATGGCCGATGACAACCTGAATGTCAAGTTCCTCTGGTGGAACGATCAACCAATCAAGAGGATCACTGAAGCCAGGAAGACGCCCTGCTTCTGTGATGGAGATGTTGTAACTTTTGGCAACTCTCTTGTCTTCTTCTCCAAACTCAAATTCAGGTTCAAGAATGGTCACTTCTACGTGTGGGTCTTTTGCCAAATGTATGGCAAGAGTTCTGTTTATTGTTGACAAGCCACCTCTAGACGACCCCCATTCGTTCGCCAGGAGGGTAACTTTCAATATTAACCGTTCTGAATGACCTTGTTCAGCATCAGATGATGATAATGATGATGGTGGTGGTGATGATGGAGTACACACGTCCTGTACAGAAACCAAAAATGGAAATTTTAAAATAGAAAGCGTACACCTGGGGTGCTTACCGCTTTGATAGAAAGTTTGCAAAACATGTTATCATCCAGTAAGAAGCTATAAACTTATCGTTTAACTGTAAAGCAAACAGCTTGTTAAGAAAGACTTAAGAAACGGTTATGAATACCCACTGCTATGGCTACAGTAGGTATTTAACAACAGAGCTGATGATGTTAATTGGCCACTGTAAAGAGATTCTCAGTTCAAGGCTAGCCATTTGTCGGGCAAAGTGCTAAAATAACTTGAATAGAATTTTGAGTCATATTTGGTAACCAACTGACCTTATCAAATTACTTGATTTTAAGTACTATTGTTTGCTTCTTTTTACCCAGCGAGGGGCTTGTGGTAGGTCAAAATGAAGGACTACGTTGTATATTATTATAACCTAATAATGACACACACAAACTTTGTTGAAGCTTTTTTAAGTATAAATAAATGACTAGCCTTTCAGCAGCATAATGTCAGTTTAGTAGTAATATGCCGTAGAGGTCCGAAAATAAGACCCAGGCTGATTTTTTTTCAAAGGCCCTTTTTGAGGGGCTTTTATACGGAGGGAAATGGGAGGGACATTTGCGTCTCAAAATCGATTGGGCTAGAGGTTTTACTGAAACTCGCCATGGCGACCTAGGTCTTTCTAAAACTCTGCCATGCGAGTACTTTGGCTATATGGATCGAAGGAATTCAAGCCAAGAGTGAAGAGTGAACTACGCAAACAGCAATACACTGTGACACTTCTTGATTGCAATCATTTGGCACGAGGAATAGTTCTTTGGCAAATTAAAAACATTATGTGTTACTGTACCGTTTTTAATTTGTTTTATTTTGTATTTGAGGGCAATTTCCAAGTACAAGCCCCTGGGGGGCTTATATTCGGAGGGGCGATTAAATGGAAGGTTGTTTTGCGTTACGAGTTTGTTTATTTGCAGGGGGCTTAAACATGGAGGGGCTTATTTTCAGAATTTTACGTTAACATTCCATTTATATTTAACATGCTAACAGCACTGATAGAGATGAGATTTCAGTGCTACCTACCTTACTTGGTGTCTGTAAGAACCATTTTGCTTTCCTTTGACTGTGAGTACTTCATCTGTAGGTTTCTTTTTGCAAATCAGATGAACGCCTTGTCTTACCTCAAGGAGGTGAGGACAATCTTCATGAGAACATGCAATCTGATTATGGCTTGAGTATTTTTCCCGCTGACAATACGAACAGGCGACCCGAATATGATACTGCAATCCACCTTTATAGAGATCACGTGACAAAGCTTGCAAAGTTGCCTCCACAAACTCACGAACCTGCACTGCCATCTCACTTGTCTCATCCAGAGAGATCTGCTAAGGGTGGTTTCTTTGCTTGATAAAGAACTTAAGTAATGATCCAGGTAAGGTGGATAGCAATTGCTTTTGTTATGCGGCAACGGTGCTTTCCCCACATAGGAATGTTCTCATTTTTACACAGAGAAAGCATAAACCTACATGAAGGCCGTTTACGCAATAAAATGCATTTACACTCCACTTTGAAAGGGTGCTTTTTTTGTGTTAAAAGATTTTGACCAATCACAAGAGTTGAAAACAATAGCCAAGAAAGGTTTACAATTTTACATGTTCCCCACATTTCTTTGTTATTCAAACTGAGACCAGATTTTGTTATGTGGAAGATGGTTGGAAAGTAAGGATGAATATATGTACCGCTTTATGAAGTTTTGTTAACTTTTGCTGTTTAAGCCAATCAGAAGTAAGTACAGACAATAGAAACGTTAGCACCTTTTTTGCATTCCAACATGTTCGTTGCCGTTGTTGCTATCGTTCTTATCTGGACCGTTTCTTAATAAACTGCTTCTTAAAAATAAGAACAAAATCATGGACAGTTTTCTTCTCAATAACAAACCACGCTCCATTTTGGTACAGGGTAGGGGGCTGAGTTGGACCAGCCTCAGAACACCAACGGACAGATCGAGAAACAAGTCGAATGAACAGACCATGGGGAACAGAGCCGCTGACGAAGTAAACATACAGAGGACAAGGGTCCAGCCTTGAGGGCGCCATGGAACAAAGGGAATCAGGCGACGCTTTGAGTTGAGATGGAACAAAATACTTTTCACCTGTCTTTGAAGATGAAAATTTTGCAATCAATCCAAATTGTTCCATCAAATCCAGAATGTCTTTCCTGGCAACGTCCTCCAGAAGAAATTTGGAAAACACATGATCAAGCAGTTCCATGCTGAGAACACCGCTTTCTTCGACTTCCTTCCAGTGCTTTGCAAACTTAGGGACCTGAAACGGAATAACAAGAGGAATGTAAAGAAATTATTTTTCGCAAGAAAGGTCTTATTCAGGATATTGTGCAAGTTAATAACATTCGCTGCTCATTTTAGGTGTTACGTTTCAAGAGAATTGTAAATAAAGCGAACACGTACGTGTTAAGTTGATTAAGGCAAATACTGTAAGTGTCTGTTTGTATTAAGATCTTTACAGAAGGAAGGTTTCAGTCAAGTTGAAGTAGACCACCTATTTAGCGCCTTAGTTTTACCGAATTTCACTTATGGTCTGTAGACTCAGATCTAACGGTCATACAAAACTTTCTGGATAGATGCTTTAAAAGGAAATACACATCCAAGAGAATGGACATCCGAGAACTTTTAGAAAAGGCAGATAAAAATCTTTCCAAGGTACGTTCAGTGGATCCCGATTGCCAGCTTAGTAACATCATTCCGAAGAAGAAAGAAACAAAGTATCAACTCAGAAACAAAAGTGCTCATCGTCCGGATACAAAGACTGATACATTGAAGAATGTTTTTGTAAACAGGCTTATTTTTAGATATAATCTTTGATCTTTCTATTATTTGTATACAGTATGACCTTATGTATTTTTAGACTCCCAACTGCTGATGTAACTTACATGAACTTAAGATATGTCTTTTTATCTTAGGAGGAATAAATATTGATTGATTGATTGATTTGATTGATTGAATGATCACAAAACTATTCAAAATAGCTTTCTTCCAGGATCATTTTACATTTCTAAATGTTATATTAATAAGTTTTGGCAAGTTCTCTAAAAGAAATAAACTACTTAACATTTTAAGTAAACATTCAAGGAAAACTTTCCTCCTTGTAATTTGCGGATTTGTGTGAGGACACATATAAAATGGAAATTACGAAAGACTGCCTAGAAAGTATAACTGTGAATAAATCTCTCTGGGGGCGAAAAAAGATCATAACCTTTTTAACAGACCTCAGATTTTAAATCTATAGAATGTTCTTTAAAGCGCCACGTAACTGCCAGAATCCTCCATTTGGTTTACTCGCCAGAAAATTCTTACGGTCCAAATTTCACTTCCACAAGCTATAAAAGCGCGTTCTGATTGGTCGACATAAAGAGTCGCTGGTTTCAGCACACGTATATATGTATCTTTCCACTCTTTTTTGTTGTGAGACGTTCCTTTAAGACTACATTTGAGGATAATTCTACAAGTCATGCAATGTACTTCCATTGCACCCCTTTAAAGGTAGATTGTGCTGATGACACACACGAAAGATAGCTTGCAATGTATGTGACATAATCATTTTTATTTGTTACGGCACGGTTTGACAACCGTGATGTCATCCAAAATGGGGGCCGTTATAAAACATGGCAAGTTTAAAAACACGTTAAATTGT